TGCAAAGCAAGCAATTATGCCTAAATCAAGTAAGACCCTAATGGCCTGGGGCCAATCACACCTAAGCTAAAGGCCCATCGAAATAATGGCCCATAGTTCCCAGGGGAAAGATGATGCCAGGCCTGACTGAGACTCAAGGTTACTTGTCTGGGCCGAAAAAGATAACGAAGCAACAGCAGAGTGGCTAAAAGTGAAAGCAGATATTCTTCTCACTCCCCTACATCCCCATGGCAAACAAGCCCGAGAAAGCAGGCGAAGTTGACAATTACCTAGCCAGAAAAAAAGGGAGAATAAAGAAAGCAAAATGAAATCCTGTGTCAGTAGTAGACATCCTATGGTACTAATAAAAAAACCCAAAAAACACTTTTTTAGCTGTTTCAGTTTTTCTGAGGTGCTAGTCCAGACAACATACATTAAGCGAAGTTGACAATTACCTAGCCAGAAAAAAGGGAGAATAAAAAAAGCAAAATGAAATCCTGTGTCAGTAGCAGACATCCTATGGTACTAATGAAAACAAAAAAACCTTTTTAGCCGTTTCAGTTTTTCTTAGGTGCTAGTCCAGCCAACATACACTAACCATTAATGATGAGATGACAAAGCCAACAAGACATAATAATAAACCAGGGCCCCAGTCACACGGAGAATTTACAGCGCGAAAGGCACGAATGTCGGGCATATTTTCAGGGCGCAATCACACCGCAAGATCTGAGAAGCGTACCGCACCCGTGGCCAACCCGTGGCATCCCGCCGAAGATGCAGAGTTAAAAAGTACCAAGGAAAGTGCACTAGTATCCGGAAAACACATGGTACAGGCGGGCGTCTGATTGCGGGAGTACTAGTATCTCATGGAATCCGGCGCCCGTCCACATCCCGTCGCAAACCGGATGTTTTTTGTAAGTACATGCGCACAAACACAAAACTGAAAGCAGTGCTGCTCCACGGAACTGCGTATGTGCACAAACGCGAAACGCTTGTGTGATCGCGCTGCGCCGCTTCTTTGCCATGCTGCGGCATCGCTGTGTGATCGCCAGCTAACAGCCTAAGCACGGAGACTCAGGGGACCGTGTGATCGGGCTACCACGCCTTATTTTGCTCCAGGGCGAACAGCCACACCTCCCCACCGCGTTATCTGGCCCGTGTGACCGGGGCCCAGAAAAGGCAAGTCTTCTTGATTATTGTAGCAAGACTATTATCCTCCTATTTTCTACTTCAGTAAATTGTTTGGGAGATAGATATTAACCACTTCTACTTGACACTAATGTTTGATATGTTTTTGAAAGGGCCCTGTAGGGTCTTTGATGCCTAGATCAAAAAGCTTACCTGGTTTAGCTACAGCTTCTTTAAATGACATCATAGCCTCCAACAAAACTCTAAGCAGCTTGACTGTCTAACAGCCAGCATCCAATACAAACGCTCCAGTTCCTGACAAAGCTGGTGTTAGAATTCCCAACACTGCTCACTATCACTTGTGTACAGGGGTCATTTCCTGCAGGAGCGGACAGGAGCGGAGCTCCAGCAGAAAAGAGCCCAGGGGGCGGGCACATGCAACAAGCCCCGCCCCCTGCTCCCAGCAGCCCTCAGTCAGAGCAAGAAGCAGCCAGGTACGTTGCAGAGCTTCCCCCAGCCCAAAACAGTCCAGTGGCACCTTTAAGACCAAGTTTTATTCAGGTACAAGCTCTCCCTCCTCTGCGAGGACAGATCTGCACGTTTCCCCCCCCCCAATAGCTAGCAATCCAAAACAGTCCAGTGGAGCCTGAGCGGTGGGTGTTGCCTTCTGACACACTTCCGGTGATGTCAGGGGGCGTGGTATATGCAAATATGTTATGCTAATGAGCTCCTGCACCTCTTTTTCTAGGAAATGACCCCTGCTTGTGTAGCACAGGAGCCATGAGAATGAACAAAGAACAAGGAAGTCCCTCATGGCCTTAGCCACCAGGACCTTTCTCTTAGCCTCAAGGATTCTCTCCATACCTTGTAATATGGAGGTAATAATATGGAGTTGGATTATTACAGGGATTACAAAATGGACTCACGCTTTTTCAGTGGCTGCCCAATGCCTCTGGAACAGCCTCCCAGAAGAGGATGGGGGGCTCTTACCCCCTGGCTTTCCAGTGAGGCTGTAAAACAAGAGTTAATCCGAAGAGCTTTTGGAGCAGCCCGAGGCAGAGCAAAGGGGGAAGAATATGCTGTTGGTGTTTAAAATTTGGTGTAGCCAGTTTGGTGTTAAGAGCATGGATTCTAATCTGGGAGAAACACGTTTGATTCCCCACTCCTCCACATGCAGCTGTTGGTGTGACCTTGGGTCAGTCATAAGATCTTTCAGAGCTGTTCTCTCAAGGGCAGTTCTCAAGAGAGCCCCACCTACCTCATGGGTTGTCTGTTGTGGAGAGGGGAAGGGAAAGGGATTGTAAGCCGCTCTGAGACTCCTTCGGGTAGTGAAGGGCAGGGTATAAATTCAATCTCTCCTCTTCTCTCTTCTTAAGAACATAAGAATATAAAGAACATAAGAGAAGCCAATGTTGGATCAGGCCAATGGCCCATCCAGTCCAATACTCTGTCACACAGTGGCCAACAATACCAGGTGCCATCAGGAGGTCCAGCAGTGGGGCCAGGACACTAGAAGTCCTCCCACTGTTGCCCCCCCAAGCACCAAGAATATAGTGCATCACTTGACCCAGACTGAGAGTTCCTATCTATACCTTGTGGCTAATAGCCACTGATGGACCTTCTTCTTTTATATCTGTTGTTTTAATGATTACTATTTTATTAAATTGTTCTTATATTGTTGCTACCCACCTTGGGTCCTGGGATGCCCAGCACAAAGGTGAGTTTATAAATATTTCAAATTAATAAACACGATTATGTCTGCAACCACTTTTCTACTTGGCTAACCCAGCTGATTTTTCCCCCTAGGCACTGGACAAAAGTTACCCATAAAACTAAACAGCTAGCATGACAACAGCCTGATACCACATTGATGTATATATATTTACATAACCAGTTTGTCCTAGTGAAAATGATGGTTAAATGTTCCTGTCCAGATTTCAGCACCTGGTGAAGCAGCTGTACTGTTGCTTCCCCACACTCCCAGTTTGCAGCTTAACCCATCTTCACCACAACACCATCAATCCAGTATCCAGTTGGCCAGTACATGGTCAATGTGGTCTGAATTGCGAGCGGGGTATGTGCTGATGCAATCACATGCTGAACGGGGAAGAGACCCATTCACCCCACACTCACTGGCCATTTTGCAGGAGGCCTTAAGTTTCCAGCAGTACAATCTATGCAGAGGTGCTCCAATCTAAGCCCGCTGACTTCAGTGAACTTAGATTGGAGTAATGCTCCATAGGATTGTATCATAAATTAGGCTGAACTACATGCTAATGAACAGCTGAGGTCCGGAGTCAAGAGCTGATCTATGTCCAGTTCACTGTGTGCCATCCATACAGCCACAGCAGCAAAGCTGAAAGGGTTCAACTGAAAATATAGCTGCTACAGGTTGAAACAGTGTGAACTGTGCCTGAATAGAACCTCTAATTCTGTGATGTCATAAAACAGATTCCTAGCACAGAATACACCAATACAAAAAGTAATTGGCACATTACATAAAAAGTCCTGTTTGAAGTGGTTTAGCCGTCGTTAACGTATTATTACCATTAGGCTATAATTTGTTTGTTCTTATAAACAAGTCAGTAGCCAAGAGACAATAGAGAACACATGAGACATAAAGTGCAGAGGGCCTCCAGAATTCTGCTGCTTGAGCAGAGAAGCTCAGCTCTTTAACAAGGACGACAACCAGATGTTAAATTTGGGCTTTTGCAGATCAAGAGCTTTGTGAGTGACTCTAGGACTCTGAATCTATACACTGAACACCTCCAATGAACATAAGAACACTGTGCCTGGTTCATTCTCATACTGATCTCAGCTTGTCAAGGCAGATTAGCAGAATCTGACCCAGTGATCATCCCATCCCACACTAGTTAGTAATTTTCTAATTTGTAAAATGTTTCTTGAATTATTAAGCACATAAGAAGAGCCCTACTGGATCAGACCAGTGGTCCATCTAGTCCAGCGTTCTGTCTCACACAGTGGTCAACCAGTTCCTCTGGAGGGCCAACAACATGGCATAGAGGCCTTCCCCTGACATTGCCTCCTGGCACTGGGATTCAGAGGCTGACTGCCAGAGGTTACCCCCTATCTCAGGTCCCACTTGTTTGGAAGAAAGGCAGGCTTATAAATGTATTTTAAAAATTAATACTAAAATGTACTTACACAGCATTGATTATGGTTGAGCATCTGTTGGTTTGGACCACATTCTCCTTGCTAGTTGTGAGGAGGGAACTATCGTTCAGCAAGATGTTCAATTACATCTGACCAACTTTGGACGCTTCTGATTAGCACAATTACAATACGTGCAAGAATGACTACACTGCTTGCTTTCATCCACTGCCCCCCTAACTTTCTGCTACTATTGCTGCACATAGTACAAAGGGGTGTGTGTGTGTGTGTGTGTGTGTGTGTGTGTTAAGATTTGCTATTTAGGTATCTAAGTGTGCCTTCAGTGTCTGCCCATGAACCCAGCTTTCCTTGTGATCAGTTTTTGTGATCAGTTCTTGAACAGATAGCAACATCATGCTTGCAACTAACTTCACCAGGGAAAACCGAGGCAATCCAAACAAGAGCACCCCTCAAATGCAATCAAAGGAGGTCAAATAAGGTAAGTTTGCCTGATGTCGCGTTCATGCCCAAGTCTGCAGCATGACTACCTTCTTTCTGGAAAAAGTCTATTATTTAATGCCCACCGTGAATGCTAGTGGTTCATCACTGTTTGGAGCCTATGACTCATCAAGCATAGTTGTAGTTTCAATACACCCATCCATATGAAAAGTTCTTTAGAACTGGAAATCCAATCTTGCTCATGGAGATAATTATTTTTATTTTCAACCAGTGGAAGGAAAAAGTGACATGTGGGACAAGAAATTTAGGCATTTGAGACCAACCTTCTGGGCGCTGGATGCAGGTATGCTGGTTATCACTCAGGAAAAATCCATCGCGGCAGTGGCACTCATAGCTCCCCATCATGTTGACACATGTCTGCTGGCAGCCACCATTCCCCTCTGCACACTCATCCACATCTGTCTCAGGAAGCAAAGAAGAGAATGAGGAGTCTCTGAGGCTTACATCACAGTATTTATATAACACAAGTATATAAACATGCATTATGCTAGTTTCTCTTTCTTGACAAAAGCCAGTTCCCACTATTCCATCAAGTATGCTCTCCACCTATAATAAAGAAGCAGGATGCAACTGTGACAAGAGAATTGGACTTGATTCTTAAGGGTGATGGCCCCAGAGGCCAGAAGCAGGTTTAAATCCAGCTCAGTGGTTTGCCCCCCCAGTCGGAATAACGAGACAGACAAAAGTTTGGAAGTAAACAAGGGCCACTTTATTAACTATTTAACATAACACTGCGGCAAGGGACCAGCTAAGCGAGCACAGAACAAGCAAGGCAGGTGTCATCCCCCTGACCAACCTCCTTGCTCTTTTCTTGGGTGTGTCACCCAGCTCCGGTCTTGAGCCAGGGCTCTGGCTCGCGACCAGCAACCCAGCAAACATAGTTGCCCCCTAGGAGCACCTACCCCTGAAGCCTCCCAACTTGCAGAGAGGAGCATACCCTAAGAGGTTCCCGGAGGTGATCACTGTTCCCCACCCTGGTCCTTAGAAATCGGAAGGCAGTTCCTGATGACCCCCTGTTCCCTAATGGGGAAAATGCCATAAGGTGCTCACCGGTTCCTGTTTCTTGCCCGCACCAACCTGCCAAGTGACCAGCCTATTTAACTGCTGACCACCACATCCAATACTTCAATCCACTGCTCTCAGTGCAAGGTAGGCAAAAACACTTCCACTCAATCTGCCAATTCTGGGTAAAAGTGAAAAATTCCTACCTGGCCCCAGTAGGCAACCAGCAAAAGCCTACACTAAGAACAGGGCGGGAGGGTGGGCAAGCACGAGTCTGTGACTGCTTTGGGCGGGAGCGGAGCACGGCCGTTTAAGCGTGCCGGCTCCACCCCCTGCCCACGTCATGACGCACAGCGTCATGGCTCTGTTGCTGCCCTGGCTTCTTCCAGGGTGGCAAAACAGCCCCTGGACCTCCAGCGGCTTTGCCGGGAGGCCAGGAGCTCCATTCTGTGCAGAGGTCCTTTACTTTTTCTAGATAAGTGAGCTACAACTATTCATTTCTATGTAGAAACGTAAACCACTGCACTTGAGAACAATGCAACCCACCCATGACACAGAGCACACCTCACGGGGATGCAATATACAGGCCCTCCCTCCACACACACTGGTCCAGCATAATATCTGTCTAGGATTTAATAATAGCCTTACAGAACACTGACAGAGTGTGTGACGTCAGATGTAGTGACCACAGGTATACTATATGACAGTGAGTGTGATAAGACAAAAGACTGGAATTCTCCATCCCTCATCCTCTTGTCAAGTTTTATGACCCTTTATATTTTACATTTATTTATACACTGTTCTCCATTATAAAATAATGGAAAAAAATTGAATGCCTGAAAAATCAAGCATTCCCTAAGTTTTACCAATGGAAAAAAACCTGAAACAATGTTTGCATGTACACACTTTTGAAAAGTTGTTTTTGAAGTTCCAGTCAGATGTCCTAACTACTGCAATATCCAAGATGTGAACAACAACTATTGGGCAGCAGTTCAAGAGCCAGCACAGAATGACACCACAATCACAACTCATGACTCATTTGCCTAAAGTGCAACAAGCTGAATTTCTTCCTAAAGTGTGAAGCTTTGTTTGTTGCCATTGTTGTTTTGAGTGAGCCTTAAGTACGACAGTCTTTTAAAATCTTGGTCAGAGAGGGTTTCCAATTATTTCTGGATTCTTTAACATATTTCAACAGATGTTTTATTGTTGGCGCCTAGAAGACTCCACACAGAAGTCATTATTGGTGAGGAGATTCAAACGCCCATCGATTCTTGTGAACTGCAGTACTCTCATCTATCTTGGTTTTAACAAAACAAGGCAATATTCATCTATCTGTCAAACATGATGCACCCTCAGGGCCAAACTAGATGTCATGGTGGCCACAGGTCAACCTGTGGCCACTGATGACATTTTAAAGAAGAATCTGGCCATTTTAAAATACCATGAGGGCCCAACAATGCAATGGGACCAGGCGATCTTGCCCCCTTCCCTCTTTACAAGTACCATACCAAAACAGCCATAGGGGGCTCCTAATCATCTACCGTAAGCTATTATTTCCGCTATCCCTTGAATGTAGGGATTTGCGTATTCCTGTTGCTGCTCATCACTGCATTCCTCCCCATTTTGTATCACATCTTTTACAGAACCAGAATTTTACCAGTTACTAAAGGGCAAATTACGATGTTAGGGGCAGTGTTCCCTCTAAGCTGAGTTAGTGTGAACTATCTCACAGTTTTTTAGCCTCCAGCTCACACATCTTTGTCTCCGCTCAGCAAACTAATTTATGCAGCAGCCAGATCGCTCACTCACAGCTTTAATGCCAGTAGCTCACAAAGTAGAATTTTTGCTCACAAGACTCCACAGCTTAGAGGGAGCATTGGTTAGGAGTCTTGAGAAATTTCCTATGTATTATTTAGCCCTAAAAAGCAACTGTGCGATCTGGACTGGAGCACAATACGGGTGGGGCCCTGTCTTTTTGCCTTACTGGGGCTTGAAAAGGAAGAAAATGCATAAAGAGTTTTGAAAAAGCTTTCTCGACCACAGTGACCCTGATCCAGACCTCTCCTCTCCAACTACTTAAAAAAAACACTCCTTATTTTAAATGTTTCATAATATTTTCTTTCCATTACAACACAAAAATCACACCCATCTCATGGTTACATTTTGGGATGCTGTGATGCATCAAGAGAACCAGAGTTATCAGAAGTAAATATCAAGTAATAATGGCTATATAGTAAAAAAAGCTAGCCCAGGCTAGCCTGATCTCCTAAGATCTCAGAAGCTAAGCAAGGTTGGCTGTGGTCAGTATTTGGATGGGAGACTACCAAGGAAGTCCATGGTTGCTATGCCGAGGCAGGCAATGGCAAGCCACCTCTTGCCTTCAAAACCCCACAGGGACACCATAGGTCTGGGAAGGGAGGGAGGGAGGGAGGGAGGGAGGTCTTAGAATTCCAGAGCCTTGAATATCTTTTCTTAAAATTAAAAGTCAAGTTAAACTTTGTTCCATCTTCATTTTATTTATTTATTTAGCTGTCAGCATACATAAACAAATCTTAGGCCCCGTTCACACTTGCTGGGAAACACGGGGAGGAGACGTGGCTGTTTGCGCCAGCACAGTGTGTCCCGCTGCAAACACAATCAGACAGGACGGCAGTTTCCTTCCTCGGTGCACGTTCCCGGCGCACTCCAACTACTCCAACTACGCAAGAGGAGCGTGCTGGAGCGATCACACAAAGAGAGTCCAGCAGCGGCCCCTCGCAAGCCGTTTGCTACTGGACTTTACGAGGTAGCTTTTTACTCTGCATCAGCCGGTTGCGGCGGGTGCGCCAGCTGTTGTCGTGTGATCACGCTCTTATAATCCTCCCTGCATTCATGCCACTCCCGCGGCAACTTCTGCGTCTGATTGGGGCCTTAGTCTTTCAGGATGAGAGCCAAATTTTTCATTTGAGGCAACAAACAACAGAAATTAAAGACATATTTCTATGTTGCTATTTATAGGAGGGGCTCTGAGCAGTTTTAATCTGTGAGGCAATTTTGTCTGTTAGACTTTCCCATACCTTACTATAACCAGGCATTTATGACAGGTGCAAGCTTGTTTTTCTAGTCCTTAGTGATTAGTATTTTTGCAAGGGAACCTTTACCTTTAATTTTAGGCAAATTTATGGAGTACTGGGGTCTTCTGACTGCTTTTTAGCATGTCAAGAATTCCAACATCACATGTAAAGCAAAGGTAAAGGTTCCCTTGCTCAAAAGCCAGTCGAATCCGACTCTAGGGTTGTGGTGCTCATCTCCGTTTCAAAGCCAAAGAGCCAGCGCTGTCCGAAGACATTTCCGTGGTCATGTGGCCGGCATGACTAAACACCAAGGCGCACAGAACGGTGTTACCTTCCCACTGCAGTGGTACCTATTTATCTACTTGCAATTTCTTGCTTTCCAACTGCTAGGTTGGCAGGAGCTGGAACTAGAGACGGGAGCTCCGTCATGCGGCACACTCGGGTCTCGAACTGCTGAACTACTGAACTTCCACAGCCTGCAGTTCAGCGTCTTAACCACTTGAGCCACCGCAGCTCCTCATCACACGTACCTTGGCCCTAATACTCACTGCTTGGTCTACTGCACATCTTTGCCATAACAATTTTTCATATCCTGTCTGTCTTTTTTGTTTCTACAATTCAGTTTTAGAAAGCTATTTACAGCTATTCTACTAATCAATGACTGAGGTACTTAGTTTTCAGATTTCATTCATATCTAACCAGGCTGATGGTTCAGGCCATTGAGAATGCCTTTCACATTTCCTATAATTTAACTTGTAATTGGCTGGACTTCTAGTGCCCAGAAATATGCATCCTCTTCTTGGAGTCACTTTTGGCAGCATGACTGGATGGACTGCCGACTGAGGAGATGCTCTTTCTTCATCTCAGGGTCCCTCACAACCTGGTTGCTTTACTAGAGATCACATAAGAAATGCTACCAACCCCTTTACTCAACACAGACACAGAGAAGGCAAGAGGCCCGTTGCCAAAGAAAACCTCCTGTGAACTCGAGCATTTCAAACCCAACAACTAAGTGGAAAGCTGAGCCCCTCGGACATCAGCAGTGGGGCCATGGAGCGGACTCCGGAAAAGCCAGAATAGCAGGTCGATGACAGAATGCAAAGAGAAGGAATTCCAGATTAGACCTGAATACCTGAGCAAATGTCTAAGGGGCTAATTAAAACACACACATTGGCTCATACGCTCAGAAAAACCAAATGTACTGTCACGCATGGTTTCTTACAGACAGACACTGCAACCGCCAACTATTACGGTTTTATCACAAAACATGACCATTTTAACATCCACAATAAAGCGTGAAGAGGCCTGACATTTTATCTTTAATTTGGGTTAAAAAAATTTCT